AATGAATTAAAGGAGCTAACTTTTAAAATTCAAACAAAAATATAGAAGGAAATATGAATTTTTACTTGATCATCTGGTACATAAAAGCAGTAGGAATCATAAAGGAAAGGGAAACTTCCCTGACCGTTTGACCACTTAAAATTAACCACTTCGTTCTGACACATGCTATGTGTGAACCTTGAAGACATTGTGCTAAGTGAAATAAGCCAGACACAACAGGACAAATATTGTATGATTCCACTTACATGAAGTACCAAGAAAGGCAAATTCATAGAAACAGAATGTAAAATAGAAGTTACTAGGTGCTGAGAGGAAGAGGGAGTGGGGAGTTATTGTTTTATGGGTACAGAGTTGTGTTTGGGATGGTGAGAAAGTTCTGGAGATAGTGGTAGTGGTTGTACAACATTGTGAATTTACTTAATGCCACTGAATTGTATATTTAAAAATGGTTAAAATGGTAAATTTTATGTTATGTATATCTTGCCACAATAAAAAAAGGTAACCACTTTGGTATGCTAAAATATACCATTAACAACTGAAAATAAACTGGAGAAAATATTTCTAAAAATGAGAAGATTGTTTTTCTTAATATATAGTTTATACAAGACAACTTTTTTTTTTTTTAATTGATGTTTTAATGGTTTCTAACATTGTGAAATTTTGGGTTGTACATTTTTGTTTGTCCATCACCACATATATGACTCCCTTCACCCCTTGTGCCCACCCCCCACCCCCCACCCCCACTGCCCTGGTAACCACAGTCCAGTTTTCTCTGTCCATGTGTTGGTTTATATTCCACATATGAGTGAGATCATACAGCGTTTGTCTTTCTCTTTCTGGCTTATTTCACTTAACATAATACGCTCCAGGCCCATCCATGTTGTTGCAAATGGGACGATTTTGTCTTTTTTTATGGCTGAGTAGTATTCCATTGTATATATATACCACATTTTCTTAATCCAATCGTCAGTCGAGGGACACTTAGGTTGCTTCCACTTCTTGGCTATGGTGAATAATGCTGCAATGAACCTAGGGGTGCATAAGCCTCTTTGGATTGTTGATTTCAGGTGCGTTGGATAGATTCCCAGTAGTGGGATGGCTGGATCATAGGGCATCTCTATTTTTAATTCTTTGAGGAATCTCCATACCGTTTTCCATAGAGGCTGCACCAATTTGCATTCCCACCAGCTGTGTATGAGGGTTCCTGTTTCTCCACATCCTCTCCAACATTTGTTGTTTTTTGTCTTGGTGATTATAGCCATTCTAACAGGTGTGAGGTGGTATCCTAGTGTTGTTTTGATTTGCATTTCCCTGATGATTAGTGGTGTTGAGCATCTTTTCATGTGCCTATTGGCCATCTGTATATCTTCCTTGGAGAAGTGTCTGTTCATTTCCTCTGCCCATTTTTTTATCGGGTTGTTTGTTTTTTTGTTGTTCAATTGTATGAGTTCTTTATATATTATGGAGATCAACCCCTTGTCAGATGTATGTTTTGCAAATATTCTCTCCCAGCTGGTTGGTTGTTTGTTCATCTTGATTCTGGTTTCATTTGTTACAAGACAACTTGTAAAAAGCGGAAAGATTGCTATTTAAAAAGGCAAAGGGCAGGAATAGTTAATTCACAAGAGGAATTTGTGAATTAAGGAAATAAGGATGGTCAAAATAATTTACTAAGAAAAGCTCAGCCTCAGTGGTAGTAACAGAAAATGAAGTTAAATTAATGTTGTATTCATTTTTTACATATCACAATTAAAACTGATGAGAGAATCACTTATACTGCTTGTGAGAATGTCAGCTGAGATAGTTGTTCTGGATGGTAAATTAACAACTTAGTTTTTCAAATGTTCACACATCTCCTCTTCAGTAATTCACCTCCTAGGAATTCATCCTCAAGGGAAGAAAATGGACAGATGTTCAGCATATAGCAAAACTTACAAAGAGCCCAAATGCTTGATATTAGGGAATGAATTACAAAATTATAGTATATCCATCCCATATATCATGCACTCATTTGAAACGTTTAGAGCGTTTTTGGTGCCAAGGTTAGATAATTACAGTGGCTAAAATAAAAGAAGAAAAGAAAGTGTATATATAATGTGCCTTGATTACAGAGAAGTCACAACATTCATGCTTTTCACTTTTGCAGTTGACTGTGTTTGCTCATCAGAGAGAGAGTGAGACAGAGCAAGACAGACAGCTTTAATTGTTCAGATGAGTCACTTGAGCACTGATCATTCACCCTGGAGTAAGCAGGAAATGGGAGACAGCCTGCTTTTCCCTTAGCCTCTCTGGGCAGGAGCATCTTGCCATGGTCAGTGTGCTTCGAACATTTAATGATCTGTCATTTTGCATAGCATAACCCCCACACTAAGCCAACTACTTCACTTTGTGCTTAGCCACTGGAATCTGTTCCTACTCTGGTGGAACCCTGGGCTGCACTGGACTTACTGAAAGACATTATGTTTGTATCCAGTGTGGTACCTGCTTAAAAGATTTTCAAGGAAAATTCTGAATCTTTGCAATTTTTCATGCTATAGGCTGATTTTAGAACCTAACTTGCATGTACAAGGCATGTTATATATTTAAAAACTTAGAATAAAGGGGGCAAGAAACAGAGAAAACTGGACATATACGTCAAATATGAATAGTTGTCTCTACGTGGAGAGATAGTGAAAGACTTTTTCCACTTCCTTATACTTTTCAGAATTTGGCAAATTCTCTGTAGTGACCATGTATTGCTTTTATAAGTAGTTATCGTTTTGGACAACCAAGGCATATAAAATACAATTTTCACAATTTTCACTTTCTCTTTGTAAATAATGTACTTCTGTCTAAAATACAATTTAAAGTCATATTACTACAAGACTTTAGCTCTAGATATTTCCTAGTAATTGCTACCATTTATTGAGTACTTCTTTTGTACCAGACTTTGTGTGAAGTACTTGACGTGCATTTTAACCCTCACACTATCCCTGTGAGGTTTACGTGCTCCTCTCCATTTTACAGATGGTGCTATTGTTATTAATGCTTATTGAACATTTACCATGAGGCACTGTTCTGATCATTGCTTGTTTACTTGTTTAATCTGAGGCTAAATAACTTTCCCAAGATGACCCCATAAATTAGAGCCAGGAATGGGCATGGGCAGTTTTGCTGCAGAGCCCATGTTCCTTCCAGCATGTGGTACAGATGTGAGACCTGAGCTTGTGGGGTCCCATGAAAAGTGGATTGTGGGGCTCCAACCTATCTCTGCCTGTGCCCTTCTCATTATGCTGTACCTCCTCCTTTCTATTAAAATCCATGGTCTTCTTAGAAATTTTTTTAAATACTTTAATATTTACATCTTAGCTATTAGTAATTACCTGAAAGAAACTGGTATTAGGAATTATCTGAAGAAAACTCTGGTTGAACCACTAGAAGTAAAACAGAAGCTATGCCTACAATTATCTTGGACCCTACAGGCACTAACAATGAGCTATTATTACAAATGGTAAACCAAAACGAGAACACTGTTACTTATCTTTTCTTAGAGAATAATCATTTATTTGGATTAGTTAGGACAGTCTTGAAAGTGAAGAGTCCTTGGCATATATGGCAAGGGCATTATTAGGGGCAGGGATTGGAAATGGCTTTTTTCAACTTTCCTTCAGACCTACAAATGATAAGGGAAGGCTGTTAACTAGCTAAATAGCTCAGTACTACACACTTGATGGCAAGGCTGAGACACTTAACACTCTCAGGTACCGAAAGTTAAAACAACAAACTAGGCATGTTTTCACTGCCAGAGATATAGTAAAATAGTGCCAAAGGCTGTAATGCATCAGGTACAGTAGAGTCATCTCTAGGTACCTAAAGATGTCAAGTGGGGACAGCTGGTTAGACTGTTCTAAAAGGATGGTCACCATTCCACAGCTAACATGATTTCCCATGGCTCCACTAGGGTAGTCACATGGCATTTCTCATTTTGCTTGGCTAAGACTTAGTTTAAGTCTGGATTTAAAAAATGATTTTCACATAATTCTCATAAAACAAGTATACATTTATTAACTCATTTTAAGTAAAACAAATTCTCTGACTTATTTTGGATAATAGTTTAGCAAAAATAGTTACTCTAAAATTAGAGATGACTCCCCCCGCTTTCTTTTTGTTTGTGTGTTTTTTGTTTTTTTATTGTGAGGAGATCAGCCCTGTGCTAACATCTGCCAATCCTCCTCTTTTTGCTGAGGAAGACTGGCCCTGGGCTAACATCCATGCCCATCTTCCTCCACTTTATATGGGACGCCACCACAGCATGGCTTGCTAAGCAGTGCGTCTGTGCACGCCAGGATCTGAACCGGTGAACCCTGGGCTGCCACAGCAGAGAGCGCGCACTTAACCACTTGTGCCACCGGGCCGGCCCCCTCCCCCAGCTTTCTTAATAAGTATCTGTTTAAGCTAAACATGAACTTGAAAATGTAAAACATTAAAATAAAACAAAGGGGGGGGGCCGGACCCGTGGTGTAGTGGTTGGGTTTATGTACTCCGCTTTGGTAGCCTGGGGTTCACGGGTTCAGATCCCAGTTGTGCACCTACACACCACTCATCAAGCCATGCTGTGGCGACCTGCCACTTACAAAATAGAGGAAGACTGGCACAGATGTTAGCTCAGGGACAATTTTTCTCAAGCAAAAAGAGGAGGATTGGCAATGGGTGTTAGCTCAGGGCCGATCTTCCTCACCAAAAAAAACCCCTGGGGCTGGCCTGGTGTTTAGTGGTTGAATTCACATGCTCTGCTTCGGTGGCCTGGGGTTCTCAGGTTCAGATCCTGGGCACGGACCTACACACTACTTCTCAAGCCATGCTCTAGCCATGTCCCACATACAAAATAGAGGAAGACTGGCACAGATGTTAGCTCAGGGCCAATCTTCCTCAAGCAAAAAGGGGAGGATTGGCAGCAGATGTTAGCCCAGGACCAATCTTCCTCACCAAAAACAAAAACAAAACCTGTGTGTGTACTTGTGTGTATAAGTAATATATGTCTCCTAAACAAACACATCAGAGTTGTAGGAAAGGGAATTGGTGTCAAAATAACATTTGAGGTCTGTGAATCTTTGAATTCTTTGAAGTCTAGCTTGCTACTGATCTATAAAATGGAAATAACTACTTCACGAGGTTGTCACAAAGCTCAAATAGACAATGTATTTATAAAATACAAGATGTCTAAGTTATAAAAAGATGCATTACAATTACTTCATAAGTTATTTAAGATGATATATTTAATATTCCACATGAGTAGTTTTCCTATATAATTTAAATCCATTTTATTTCCATGCTTACTACTTCTTAAATTCGTGTGTTTGTTCTAAAAGTCAACACCTCTTATGTTTTCTTTCTTACAGGTCTGATTAGTACATTCTGAGTCCCAGGACGGTGGGAATTAACCAGTGGATTACAGGCATGTTGTGGAAGTTGCTGGTGAGATTCCAGCCCTGCAGGTTGTGTTCTTTCAGAAAGATGCCATCAGTTCCACAATACAGACCATTTTTAGCATGCTTCCCCTATACAACTGATAATCAGTCAAAGAAAGAAAATAAAAGAACAGTGGAAAAGCTCTATAAATTTTCAGTTGATATCGGGAAAATTCGCAGATTAAAAGGATGGGTGCTTTTGGAGGATGAAACCTATGTTGAAGAAATTGCAAATATTTTACAACAACTAGGTGCCGATGAGACTGCTATAGCCAGTATTTTGGAACGCTGCCCAGAAGCAATTGTCTGCAGTCCAACCACTGTTAACACCCAGAGAGAGATCTGGCAGTTGGTCTGCAAAAACGAAGAAGAATTAGTCAAGTTAATAGAACAGTTTCCAGAATCTTTCTTTATTGTTAAAGACCAGGAAAACCGGAAGCTGAACATTCAGTTCTTTCAAGAATTGGGACTCAAAAATGTGGTCATTAGCAGATTTTTGACAACTGCATCTAATATTTTTCATAATCCTGTTGAAAAGAATAAACAAATGATAAGGATTCTCCAAGAGAGTTATCTAAATTTAGGTGGCTCTGAGGCCAACATGAAAGTTTGGCTACTAAAATTATTAAGCCAAAACCCCTTCATTTTGTTAAATTCTTCTGCAGCTATAAAGGAAACACTAGAATTTCTCCAGGAGCAAGGTTTCACAAACTTTGAAATTCTCCAACTTCTGTCCAAACTCAAAGGATTTCTTTTTCAGCTTTGCCCAAGAAGTATACAGAATAGTATTTCCTTCTCTAAAAATGCTTTTAAATGCACTAATCATGACCTGAAGCAATTAGTTTTGAAATGTCCTGCCCTTTTATATTATTCTGTTCCAGTTTTGGAAGAGAGAATTCAGGGATTATTGAAAGAAGGAATTTCCATAGCTCAGATAAGAGAGATGCCAATGGTTCTTGAATTAACACCGCAGATAGTACAGTACAGGATAAGGAAACTGAATTCCTTAGGCTTTAGAATAAAGGATGGACATCTAGCAAATCTAAGTGGAACGAAAAAAGAGTTTGAAGCTAACTTGGATAAAATTCAGGCCAAAAAAGGAAGGCCATTATTTAACCCTGTGGCACCATTAAATGTTGAAGAGTAGCTTGCTGACTGATGTTGCTGCTTTCTAGCAGAGCAGAGTGAAACTGAGTAGCAAAGACTTAAGTGATTCAGGCAGTTTGTAGGCACCAGTAATTTTAAGAACCTACTTAGCTTCAGAGTTGTGTTTAAGTTACCTCTAAGTAGATAATCGGACTCATTTGCTCTATTTTAAAATATAAATTATAATTATTTTAAATAAAGTTGGTAATTTTGACCTTGAGATATTATTTTAAAAAACTCCTATACTATAAAATGGCATATCAGTGTGATATTTTATATTAATGAGCGAATCAGGTCTAAGAAACTGACAAGTACATTACTTTAATTCAAAGTATGGATACATTTTATTTGTATAGCACATTTCATCTGGGATGCAGACCCAGCCTTCTTTTTCCCCACCAGCTCTGAAACATCACTCTACTGTGGTCTGAATTCTGTAGCTTAGTGTTAAGCAAAACATTAGCAAACTTCTAATACATTTTTTTAGGGAAAGCTGATATCATCTCCTGGTTGGAATAAATGAATATCTTTGAGAACCAAGTATTACTCATCCAAAAAGAATAATTAGAGCTTATTTGTGTAGTCAGTTTGTTTAAAAGGGACTATTTTCTCTCTCATGAAACATTTTTATGTGCACTCATTACTTTCCCCATTTCTTAGGTGAGGAAACTGAAGCTTAGAGAGGCCACTCAGCTGCCAAGTGACACAGCCAAGATTTACTAAGATCTGACTTCTCTTCAAACCTTGTGAATAGAAAAAGGATTGCTTATGAGTTGACATAAGAAAAGTCTCCCCTACCTGACATGCCAAAAGAGTGAGTACCAACTACAGATTTAGGGATTTTTATGCAAACTTCTCTGTAAAATTCCTCAAATTTGAAATGATCTAATTTTTATATACATTTGAAGTAAATGCAGCTTTTTAGAAAACTTTCTAAAAATCCAGGCCTATAAAAGGGAAAGTGTGTGATGGTTGGTACTGATTTTAGTAGCATTTCAAGTTTCTATTTCTATACCTTGTTCAATATAAACATTACCCAGATAGAGTGCCTTACTTTCAGCTATGGAGTTTGAACTTGGTAACACACAACTAAACAAGTGACTGTGACACTCAGACATCTGTGCACTATGTGTGCATGGCCTTTTCTTAAGTAATGAAAAAATTATGGAAAACGCAGGCCACATCCGCACTCTGTTCATTCGCTCAGCAAATGCAAGTAACCCTCACTATCCAAATCTGTTTAGTTCCTTCGTTAGGGTAGTGCAAGATATCTCTATCTATGCAGCGCCTACCCAGTGCCAGGCACGTTGTGCTTTATAACCCTAGGAGTTGAGTACCATTGTTTACTGTTCTGCAGATGAGGAGACTCAGGCACAGGGAGGGTAGGTCACTTACACCAAGTCACATGGGAATGCTTGTTCAAGAAAAGGAATGGTAGCCAGTACAGATGGGGCAGGGTTGAGTGACAGGGAGAGTGGCACAAGAGGAGATGAGCATCACAGTCCTTCTGTGGAGCATGATCTCATTTTAGGCCTGATGGGAAACCCTTGGAGAGATTTCAGTTTATGCTTATTGTCCTGACATGATTATCAGTGCTGCTCTCTTTCACTCTCAAAAGCGTCTCAGTTTAGAATAGATTATACATTATGGTCACCTTGGTAGCTTTATTTTAGATGTTAATTTTGAGATGCCTACTAGGTATCTGAACAGAGATGTCAAACAGGCAATGGTGAAGTCTGGTGTTGTTAAGAAATCAGGGCTGGAGATAGATATTCGGGGGTCATCTGCGTAAGTATGGTATTCAAAGCTATGGCTCTAGATGAGATTGCCCAGAAACAAAGTATAGATCTGTAGTAGTGGCTGGCCAAACCTGGAAAGGATTGACCAGAGGAAGAAGTCTGCCAAGAAAAGAGGGCATGGTCAATAATACTGAATGCCATGGAGAGGTCAACTAAGATACAGAGAAGTGACCAATGGACTTGGCAAAAAGGAAATCACTGGTTGACCCTATCAAGAGTGATTCTGGTGAAATGCCAAAGGTAGAAGGGAACTGGAGTGGGTTGAGAGAATAGGAGATGAGGAAGAGGCAAGGACTACAAATTTTTTCAAGAAATTTTGTTGTGAAGGGTAGCAGAAAAATGGAGGTTGTGAGATGGAGTAATTTTTCTTTAAGGAAAGCAAATACTGGAACATGTTTATATGCTGATAGGTATGACACAGGAGAGAGATAGATGAGGTCTGGGAAAACTGCAGGATTAATATCTTGGAGGAAGTGAAGGTGGGCTGACTTTGGATAAGGGCAGAGATATTAGTCCTGGTCCACAGAGGATGGGAACAGATGCAAGCAGGTAGATGGAATGGGCACTGTGAGGGGCAGGAGAGTTGCTGTCTGGTTGCCTCTTTTTACAGAGAAGCACAGTAGAATGGGAGGAGGGGAGTATACAGGAGGGCTGGAAAGAGGAGGTATGAAATAATCCTGCTGAGGAGTAAGAGAGTGTACATACAAGAGGGTATATAAGAAAGTTCGGCAGAGTTGAGTGGCCAACTGTGTGCTTTGTGGCCAGTAATTTAAAAAGAGCCTAGTCAGTACAGCAGAAAACTTCGGGTGCTCAGGCACAGAGAACCAGAGGCAATTACAGTTACAGAAATACATTTGTAGCCTACTCTAACTTGAATAGATTAAAAAAAAAAAAATCTACATTCAGGGTCAAACAAGCAGTATACTGACTTTGTTTTCCCTTAGACCAAATCGTATTCCATTATTTTTTAGCCCTTGAACCTCTGCCTTTTTTCATTCTTGCATTCTTACTCAGATCTTCCTATAAATAAAATTTAAAATATTCAAAATCAGCAACATAGCAAGGGGAGAAATCCTTACATAAAACACGAGAGTCAAATTTTATTTCCTCTGTGAAAAAAAGGCTCTAATAACAAATTACTTCCTTTAAACTATTTATGTATAATTACACTAAATTCATTTCTGTGGCAAAATGTAATTAGCTGCCAAAGTAAATGTGATCACCTGGAAGACTTCCAGTGAGCTCAAGTTAGACAGCCTGGTGCATCCAGCATACAGGCAGCACCGAATGCCAACAGCAGAAGGAAGGACTAGTTCTTGAGTAGCCCCATTTCTGTCTCTGGATATAAGCGGAAGAAGTTGTGACTTACACCAATTCAAAAGTAATATGGGAAATTCAACTAACATTGAAAGTTAGCCTGCTCTGTATTTATAAAAAGGGAATAAAGACACTGCCTTCATAAGGTCCTCAGACTGATTAAATCAGATAATGTATGGATAGAGCCTAGTGGGTAAGCAGGTGCCCAGTAAATATCAATTTTCTACCTTCCTCCAACTGGTCCCCATCCCTTTGAGTCACTTCTGTCCAGGGAGAGGCCTAAGTTGGTTCCACAGCTACTTAGGACAGAAGGAAGTGCTCCTTCCCTACTTTATAACCCCTCTGTCAGTTCCCAAATCTCAGAGTGCACAAGAATCATCTGCAGAGGTTGCTAAACTGCAGTCCTGGGCTCCACCTTGCAGGAATTCAGCAAGTTGGAGTAAAACCTAGAAATCTGCATTTTTATCTGTATTAGAGTTGTTTAAAATATATTTGTACTTCATTAAACGTTTTGTTGGCATCAAAATACATATTCAGAAATGTTTTTTCATGTTTGCATTAGTATCAAAGAAATTTAAAAATTAGATACAGTACTTTCTGAACTATGTAACTAAAAATTTTAAGACTATACCCTATTTTAAAATTTCCTTTATTTCCTTAGATCTTTATGAACATTTCATCTTTTGCAGATCATAGTGCTTTATTAACAGATTCATGTATTCTTTTCCCATTCCTTTAATACAAAAAAATTTATTCAATCATCAGTTATTTTCATCTGACATTTCAGTAAGTACAGGAGTCATAATGTCAACATTAGGTCAGTCATTCAAGTGGGTCACACAGGGTTATCCTCATTGTGCCAAACACCCACTCAAAAGATAAAATGAATAACAGGTGCCTCCAGGTGTACAAACAACCTTAGTTTCTTGAAGTGAACTAGTACTGTTTTACAGGTCTAACTACTAGTCTATGAAAATAAACTGGAAAAGACTCAAGTATATAGCTGTAGATATCATCAAATGGCAAGTTCATTTCAACAAGAACCTCTATAACTAACTGATCATTTGTACAGTTCTCTGCTACCACTGCAAAAGCCTCTCCTGAACAAAGTTATAGTTTAGAATTTAAAACAAACTTTATCAGATAAAATGTTCCAGGTGGCTTTTATGTAGCAGAAATTAATTACAACCATTTTTCCTCAAGCGATTTTAAAGACAAGCTAACTTGAAAATAAATATGCAAGCACACAGTGAAGTCTATATTTAGAAATTCAGGTACAAAGCACAGCAGAGCCTATCACTACAGAAGATAAATTTAGAAATGTAAACTAGCAATGAAGCAATTTCTTTCAAATAGCAGGAAACAAGTTCTCCAATTCCATTATTTAGTTATTTAGTGTTCATCTACTACTTTTGGAGTTTTTAAAATAAAATCCCCTTTGCTAATTATGACATTTGACCAGATATACCAACAAATATACCTTAAATCATACTGCATGAAATAAACGACCATTTATTTCTGATAATCTCCTTAACGACTTTGAAGTTGTGTGTACAGTAGAGAGGTTCAAGAACCTTTGTAGATTTGCTTAAAATCCCTGCTGGTATTCATGAAAGCTTTTAAAAGTTAAGTTATATTCTTATCCATTTGCTGATCCACATTATTAATGTAAAACTCACAGTGGTTTACAAACATTTCATTTAAACTTTGGGTATTAGTGATCTGTTTTAAGTTCTCAGGGATGCTATATTGATTTATTTACTCCACAGCATCACCTCCTTTCCTCCCTTCCCTCGCGCAAAAAAAAAAAAAAAAAAAAAAAAAAAGTACCAGCCAAGATGGGCAGAGCTGGCTTGAATGCCTGGGGATGTCTTCTGGGCTGATCTTCAAAAAAAAAAAAAAAAAAAAAAAAAAACCTGTGGAATGGAGGCAAATTTCCAGACTTAATTATAGAAAACTAAGATTTTTCAGACTTGGATTATAACCCTTAGTTAAGAGGAATGCCAAATATATATGCCACTTTTTAAATTTTTATGAAACTGACCATGAAACAAAAAACAGATGAATTCCAGCTAAGTTATATTCTTTGAGAATGAATGAGACATGATGAGACCTGTTAATAAGACATGATGCTTATCGTCCATAATCAGAAACTTCAGTCCCCCGCCTGAAGGTGACTTGGAAAATGGTATAAATTCTACAGCTACTTTAGGTATAAATTCTACAGCTACTTTAAAGGGCTGCAAGATAACAGATTTTTATTAAAAGCCTATAAACCATTGAAAGCACTTATATATATTTTACCTTCAAAACTAATCTATGGAGCCCATTTCATTCAATTTAAAAGTCGGCCCTCACATATTTGTGGTTGCTTTTACTGTGTTTTTGAAAAGGGGTACTGCTAGTAATTTAAGCCATCCTAGAAATAAAATAGGTATGAAGAATTCTTTTCATATCTTGGATGCTTTAGATAATTCTTAAGAACTTAAAATTATTTATTCCTCCTTAATATGAAACTCTTACAACATAGCTTCTGACCAGTAAAGAAATGTTCCTTAGGCACTGTGAGGTGTATTAGTGATGGAGCATGAACCCAGGTTGAAGCGTACGATTTGCTTATAACTACTAATAGTTAACAAAAAGTTAACGAGCATTATCTTACCTGCTGAGAGCAAGAAATGCCTTTACCCCACTACTCCTGAGATCCTTAAAAGGGAAAACTAATTTCACAACTTTTAAAAGAATTCATATATAGTTCTAAGAACTGCACATATTTAGGGTATTAGAAAAGATGTTTTCTTTTGTAAGGCATCAATGATTAAATTAATATAATGCATATCTAATGAAAGATGGGTTAACACTCAGTATCATAAAATTTATCTTTTCTTTTAAACTTCTCTAATTCCTGCTACTTTTACCAGCTTAAATAACAAAAAGAATGCCTCTTGGCCTAAGCAACTATGGTTATAAAAAAACTAAGACATCTGAAACTATTAGGCACATCAAAGGTACAGTTTATGTAGTTCAAGCTTCCCTTCTTAAGGGGCAGATGAGTTACCTGGCACATTGTACATATGGAACTGTAAAGATTATCCACTAAATTCAACTTTCACATTTTTAGTTAAACTGAAAGACTTATAGTAAATATTCAAATATACCATATCTTCAGTTACAACTGAATAAGTAACATTTTACCAGATAAAAAGCTGGAATTGAAGTATGAGAAACCTTCATACACTGTGCTAGTATTGGTCTCTTCTTTTTAGATGAAAGCCAGTCATCAGTACTTTCAACACAGCAATTTAGAAGATAAACGTCCAAAACAGGTGACTTGGTTGTAGTCCATAATTTAGCAATTCAATGCCACTGGCATCATAATGCTGTGGAGAGCAAGTCTATCTCCATATTTTAGTCAGATTTGTCTTTCTTCTTTCCTGTTAAGGGCACTTTGTTTACAACAGCAGACCCAACAGCTGTAACACCTCCAGCCACAGCAGACACGCCCCCTTTCACCAGCCCTATTCCCATGGAAGGCACAGTTGTAACAGCTGTTTTGGTCACCTCCAGGCTCTTTCCACCAATCCAAGCCACACCACCAATGGTGGCACCAACAGCTCCCTTTGTAACACTGAAGATACCCCCAGTCACACGGGACAACATGCCTGGTTGCTGCTGTGGGTGATCTTTTACTGAACCTAATGAGAGAAAATATCATGAGATGATCAAATATAAGTCTTTAAAAGAACAGTACAAATCATTAAGTTACCTAAGACTTCCCAACAATCAGGAGATTGTTTTGATAAGGCCATATAAATACAAATCTAATGAAGACAATGAAGTGCAAGGTTATAGGTGTACATGTTTTTAAAATATCCTGGTCCAATGCTAAGTCATCTTTGAGAAGAAATGCTTTAGACACTAGACAGCTTTCATAAAATAGAATCCTATTTTCAGTGTTTCCTTGGTTTATTGTTTTGTTGCTGTTAATAAAAAATCTTTATTTTATATCCTAAAAGGAGCATAAAAAATAAAAAGACAAACATATTTAGCCCTCATTTCCTTGACAGAATTCAGTCAGTCATTACTGAAACAACCTTCTTCATTTAAAGCAGTGGTTCTCAAGGCCTGGTCCAGGACCTCTGGGTATCCCCAAGACCATTTCAGGGGGTCTGTGGGGTGAAAACTATTTTCATAATACTACTAACATGTCATTTGTCTTTTCACTTTTCATTCTGTCATGTGTCTTCAGCAGAATTTTCCAGAAGCTAAATGATATGCAGTAACACAGACTAAAGGAGAAGCAGCTGTGAGAATCTAGCTGTCTTCTGTTAATCAAAACATTAAAGAAGCTTGCAAAAATTTAAAAACAATGTCAACCTGCTCACAATTTTTTTTTGTTTGGGAAAACAGTTGCTTTCCAAAAACATATGCTAATCTTGTTAGTATGTAATGGGTCTATTGGGTTCTTTTAATGAATAAAACATTAAATTTCTCAGTTTTTATTGTTAATACAGTAAATATCAACAAAGACATAAGCTCTTTGGGTCCTCCATTTTTTAAAGTAGAAAAGCATCCTGAGACCAAAAAGTCTGAGAACTACTAATTTAAATATACTTGAGTTTCTGCTCTATGTGCTCCTTAAGAATGTATTTAAAGAGCTAATGCTATGTAAAAATAGAAAATTATTCACTTAAAATCATGTTACCTATCTAAAATCATTTTTGTATTGTTGAGATACTATAGCTATGGTTAATACTTAAATCACTGCCTCAGTAATTCTTATAGACAAGTATGTGATTTAAGCATCTACTGTGTAAAAATTCTTCAAATACTACCAGAAAAGGTAGTCAGATTTACTTAAGTCATGAGCTTGTTCTCTTTGGTTTGTTTGTTTTCTAATAGAGCCACTCAAATTAGCATGAAACCTCAAACTCAGGCATAAAATGACTAGCAGTAAGATTTCACAAAAATTTGCTTATGCCAGCCTCAAATGAACACCCAGGTCTTTTCTCCTTTGTAATCTAATGATTTCGGCAGCAACAACACATAAGCAATGGTATTTTTATTTTTCTAAACTTCATGGAAAAATACTTGGTAACTATACAATTCAGGCTTTAATCACTGAAAAGGTACAATCTCACATAAAGAAAGGTAAATTCTTGGGTACATAACTCCAACTAATACAACAAAAGAATAAATCCTAACAGAATGTGATTATCAGAGAAGATAACACTGGGAAACCAACAATATTTGATGGAGAAAAAATTTTGAAAATTGGGCTTTTCTAATACACAAGGTACAAATTTACTCTGAGATAGGTTTTCTTTTCATTGTTTGGGGGTTTTCATCCTATCTCAAGTAGGAACATCTCGCTGATTAGTCAAAATAGCTCACAAAGATATAACAATGGCTAAATTTATAAAAAACAATCAAATCTTTTATTGCAACTATTTGAGTACTAGGCATAGTTAATATATATATTTTTAATAGCTGAAATAAAAGACAAGATATGTATTTGAATATATTAATTATAAAATTATGATGGAAAGGATTTACATAATTGGTAATTCTTTCATAATATACGTCAGTAACACTAGGAAAAAGGGGAAAATCCTGATTTGAGGGTAAGATAGATCACTGCCTCATGCTGAATAGTTCATTAGTATTATCCTGCTATGCCAAATTTGGTGCACATGCATTTAATGAAGACAGTTTTCTTAGTCAAATCAGATAAATATTAATGCTGTTGGTCTCTTTAATTATAGTGTGCTCTTAATTACCACCATATACATTAGCTGCTTTACAGACTACTCTTGTTTAGCAAGGTGCCATATAAAGACATGAAATTCCTGAGGCTCGTTCTCTTCCTTGACAACCATGCTCCTGGATGGCCTTTATCTCTTTCCTGACTTCTTTCTCACAGAGTCCTTATTCACTTTCTCATTGAGCCCTAACTTTTCTTTTCAAAACTCTGGAGTTATAGTCCTAAAAAATAAAACAAGGAAAACAGCTAAGCTAATAATTTTCCAGGCTATTTCTCCAACAAATTAAACTAAACTAAAACTAATCAGCCAGTTACCTCCATCTTCTTTTAGGCTTAAGTATGAACTTTTCATTGTGTTTATTTTCCTAGCAATTTCATTTTTGTCTACCAACATAAGAAATATAGGAAGAAAATTTTAGACAGTGGGTAACAGAACTGGGAAGAAAATCCAATACCTAGAGTCACAACTTCAAGCCCTAGCCTCTTCCCAGAGACACCCTAGTCTGTGCTACTCCAGTCTGGTCTGTCAGCCACTTCATCCCTTATTCTTCAATTTGATTCTCTTTCTTACCTATTATGACTGTCCTGTACCAACATGCAGTTGTCCAAGGTAATCATTATTTGGATTAAGTTTAATAATATTCTACACCAAAACCATAAATAAAAAAATGCCTGTAGTCATTTTCTGTATATAGTCAGGACGTTCAGGTATGCAGTTAGTGTTTCCAAGGATTTTTGAAGTAAAACTAAGAAGAAAATGATTCATGATGTCACGATTTTCAAACTAAAAGGGAATTTAAATTAAGCAGACCCTGAGACTATGTATTAATAAAGGAAGAGAGAGCTACCAGTTATAATGTAATGATTAACAGGAGTTTAACAACAAATCTCAAGTACCTCTTGAATTGAGTTTTTGTATGCGTGACATGAAAACTAAACATTATCCATTCTTCCTCTGCACCTCACCCCAACTCTTTACAAATGAAAGGATACTTATTTGTGAAATGGCCTTAAAAGAATAAAAAGAGTAACAGAAAAATAGGTCTTATATAATAAAACAGTTACATTGTGTCTCCATTCACCAATATCTGTGTTTTCTTATTAGAGGCTAAAAATGTTTATCTTCAATTATTTTTGGAACATATTTACTGACAAGGTAAACAGGTTATGTTACTTGAAATTTAATAAAAACAACCAGAGCTTTAATTCACTAGGATATTTTTTTCCGTTCTTAGTATTACAGAAGCATACTTACCTTCTGGTGGTTCATCACTAAGGTATGATGGGATTTCTTGTTGATTTTTATCTGCCTGATTCATGATCTCCTAAAAAACACACACACATATTTCATTTTAATTTCAACATGTGAGACTACCTCTTATCACATGTTCAATTAAGACAATCAACTTTATTCAGACAAACATTTTAAAATACCCATCACAAGACTACTTCATCTTGTTTCTCTCGTACTTTGTAGTGTTTAAGAAATATACTTTTTTTTGTGTGTGAGGAAGATCAGCCCTGAGCTACCATCCGATACCAGTCCTCCTCTTTTTTTGCTGAGGAAGATTGGCCCTGGGCTAACATCCGTGCCCATCTTCCTCCACTTTATATGGAATGCCACCACAGCATAGCATGACAAGCGGTGCGTCGGTGCGCACCCAGGATCCGAACCTGCGAACCCTGGGCCGCCGCAGCAGAGTGCGTGCACTTAACCGCTTGCACCACCGGATCGGCCCCTTAAGAAATATTTTTAAATGACATTAGCGAACAACAGAAATCTTATCTCAAACACCAACCAAAGATTGGCAGGCATAGTACTGTATAAGCTTTCCTATGTTGTTACTGCTGCTTCAACTTAAACTGAAAATTACCAATTGAAAGAGAGTTGGAAGGTGAGGGTCAGCAGATAAAAATGTTAAGTGCTTCCTCCTACAGAATATTGGTTAACTTAACTGTAATTTATTTCATAACAGACTTAAAGAAAAAACTATGTTATGACTAAAAAATGTGTTCTATCTAAATAATTTCTAAAAAACATGACATCCTCCTCTTATAAAGATGACACCACCAATCTGAATCACAAAGAAATGGATTTTGATTACTTTTTTGTTGTTTTCAGAGCTCTTATAAACAGAGAATTCAAAATCTACTACAAAAAAAATGTACACATACTATAATTACCTCTAAGTACAAGTAGTAAGGGAACCTAAGAAATAAAATAAGCTGTGCTGGGATGAATAAAACATAGTTAAACTTTCTTTTCCCAATTTCCTTTACTATCTTAAAATATTTGCTTTTATATTCACTTGACTAAAGATTAAAACAAGTCAAGATTGGTCTAAAAAATTTCTTGCCTGGCCAGAAAACAAGGTTTGTGATCCTAGCAGTCAAATAAGTATTTCCTAGTCATAAAACCATGGAGCCTAAATTATTTTATCTGTACATATACAATATAGATTTAAAAGGATATTGTGAAATCGTGCCATTTGTGACAACACGCATGAACTCTGAGGGCATTATGCTAAGTGAAATAAGTCAGACAGAGAAAGGCAAAGTATGATCTCATTTATATGTAAAATCTAAAAAAGCTGAACTCAGAAACAGAGAGTAGATTGGTGGTTGCCGGGGCTGGGCGGGGGGTGGGTGGTGAGAGAAACGAAGAGATGTTGGTCAAAGCGTACAAACTTCCAGTTACAAGGGGAGTAAGTTCTGGGAATCTAAAGTACAGCACAGTGATATAGTTAATACTGTATTGTATACTTGAACAGTTGCTAAAAGAATAGATGTTAAAATGTTCTCACCATAACAATGACAAAAAAATGGTAATTACGTGAGGTGAAGGATATGTTAAACCTTATTGTGGTAAACATTTCACAATATATATGTGAATCAAATCATCACATTGTACACCTTAAACTTACACAATGCTAAATGTCAATTATATCTTAATAAAGCTGAGGAGAAAAGAATATTGTGAAAATTAACAACGTACTTGAATACACTGATTGACAAATATTGATTGAGGCACCTATTATGGGCCAGGCAATGTTTTAGGTGCATGAGATATAGCAGTGATCAATACAGACCATAAAATGTCTGCCACCATGAAATGGACACTCTAGTGGGGGAAGACAATAAATAAATATAGGAAGAATATACTATTATGTCAGATGGTGTTAAATGCTATGGAGAAGAAGGGATGGAGGGGGAGAGAATGTGATATTTTAAATAGGAAAGTCTGTGAAGGCCTTGTTGTGGTGACGTCCCAAAGGGTATTTGGGTGAAGAGTCCTCAAGGCACAAAAAACAGCAAGAGCAAAGGTCCTGAGTTGGGAGTTTACCAGGAGCAGCAAGAAGGAACAGCCAGAAAAGTGTGGCATGGGCCGTGTCAAAAGGCAGTAGGAGAGGAGGTCAGAGTGAGGTCTGGATGGCGAAGGCCCTTACAAGCCATTGTGGTAATTAACTTTTAACTCGGAATAAGATGGGGAGCAGTGAAAGGCATTGGGTGATGTGTTCTGATTCACACTTTCAAATGATCATTCTGGCTGTTGTGGGGAGAACAAGCAATAGGAAAGCAAGAACAAAGGCAGAAAGACCATTAGGAGACGTAGCATAATGTTCTCAAGGTTCACACATAGTGTAGGAGGTATCAGAACAAAGTGGTTAATTTTAAGTGGTTAAAGGAAGGTCAGGGAAGTTTCCCTTTATGATTCCTACTGCTTTTAAGCACCAGATGACCAGTTAAAAATTCATTCATATTTCCTTCTGTATTTCAGTAATCCAGGTAAAAAATGTTGATGGCTTGAATGAAGGTGGTAGAACTAGTGGTTGTGAGAAGTGGGATTTTTCAAAGGTAATTCTAATTTCATGCAGTTCATCTTGCAGTGACTTTAAAACCTAAATCCTGTGTAAGATGGGACTTCACCCCAGAGTCCAGCAGCACGTGTCATGTGCTTAAATAGGTATCTTTTAGTTGCTCTAATGAAAACCCTGATTTAGGCCACTTATCAAGAGCACCTAATCTTGATGCTGTCTAGTTTGTGAATTTAGCACATCATCCCATACACACTTAGAATTTAAAAAGTAATAGTGAAAATATGTAATCTCTGACAAAAAAATGAAAGAATATCAGGTGATGCATTACTGGGAGGCGTTCTTGGCTGATTTGCCTTAATTTTAAAACTCCCTTAAACCAGAAAGTTAAATTTATTTCCATTCATATTTATATTTCTTTATCATTGTGGTAAGGCTCTGGGATCAGAGAGCCTGAATTTGAATCCCAACTTGACCATAAACTGTGTGCCTGAGGACGAATAACTTCATCAGATCCTTGCTGTTCAGGAGATATAAAATAGAAATTAAAGATATTCTAGCCCTAACTCTAAGATGAGAATACTCTCTAACAAATTCAAACAAAACATGCAGAAATTCCTGGCAGAATATGTGTCCCTTCCTGAAGAATATAATTATTTTGGAGCCACTTTCTTCCCCACTGGACTGTTAATTCCAATAGGAGAGACACTCTGTCTAGCTTGTTCATCACTGTGATCCCAGTATCTGTATACTGTACACATATAAATCCAGGGGATTATTGGGCTGATCAATCAATAGATGCTACCATACCCTGTGCAGAATTATGGGGAAATTATATACATACGTACATACATCTTACATATTTTAGCTGGAGTTTAAAAACAGGTATGATCGCTGGCAACTAGACTTTTGGTGGTGAACACGATGCAGTTTATAAAGAAATCGAAATATAATGATGTACACCTGAAATTTATATAATGTTATAAACCAATGTGACTTCAAAAAAAAAAAACAGGTATGATAGTAACTGTATGTATTTCAAAACGGCCTTTCTGTATATATCCCACAAATCCCTACTAAAAGTCTTGACTTCTCCTTCTAATACAGAATCCCTTAACAAAATTCTTAATTTTTCCACATATATCTATCTTGTAATTTAAAAAAGAAAAAGACCACCATTTGAAAAGATTAGAGCTGCTTTATACTATGACAGCATAAAAGACAATGTAAATTCATCTAAATAATATGAATTGACTTTATCCTCCTATGGATAGGCAATGAGAAGCCATGAGCAGAGTAACATTGTCAGGTCTGTGCTTTAACAAGCCAACTAAAGCAAGAACAGACAGGACAGAGACATTAAATACAGTAAGTGGCTACTTTAGTAGTCCAGTGAGATGAAATAATCCGAACTCTGCCAGTTTCTCCTGTCTAAATAAATGTTTCGGCCAAAACCTAGGAGTCACCCTTGGTTTCCTCTTTTTTTACATTCCTGTCTAATCAGTAAATTCTGTTGCCTAAAAACATCCAGAATACGACCACTTCTCATCACCTCTACTGCTACCACTTGCAACTAAGCCATCATAATCTTTCGTACTACTACAAAATCTCTTAACTGGTCTCTGAGCTTCCACCTTGCTCGTCCTTCAGTCCAGCCATGTCATACTCTGCTTAAAACCTTCCAACTCCTTCCTGTTTTGCTCAGAATAAAATCTCAAGAGTCCTTCCCTTTGCCTTTGAGTCCCAACATCTGACACTCTCCTGACATCTACCATTTTGCCTCTTGCTCATTCCAGTCTAGCAACTCAGGCTTCCTTGCTCATCCTCTCCTGAAAGCCTCTTCCCCAAGATATGTATCTGGCTCTCTTCCTTACTTCCTTGAGGTCTTTGTGCAAATGTCCCCTTATCAGAGGTCTTCTCTGACCACCTGTAATAGATTAGCACCCTCCTACTCCTCTCTTCCCCCATCATTTTCACCTAACCCTGCTCTATTTTCTTCATTGCTCTTATTGTCACTTGATATATGTATCTGTTTACTTTGTGTCTCTCCCAGTTAGAATGTAAGCTCCATGAGAACAAGGCTTGGTTTTGTTCACTGCTCCATCTCCAGAGCCTTAATCAATGCCTGATGCATGGTGGACACTCAGATACGTGAATTTTTTATATGAAGTAGAATATAACTTGGGTATTAATAAGAGATAAAAGATGTAAAATTTCTAGTGTGAGCAACTAAGTAGACAGATGATGAAAACAGAGGCAAGAGAGGAGAAACCACTTCTGAGAGAAGATGAAGGACTTTTTGTGTGTGTGTGTGTGTGTGTGGTAAGAACACTTAACATGAGATCTCCCTCTAACATGCAAGTATACACTACATTATTGTTGACTATAGGTACAATGAAAGGACTTGTCTTTGAACAGCTATATTTGAGATAGCTTCAGGGCATCCACAGAGATGTTTACCAGGCAACTGGATTTAAGAGGCCTGAAACTCAGCATTAAGTATGAGTTAGAGTTGAGGTCCTGAAAGTGGTCTGAAGTGACAGCTGAAGCGGTGGGGGGGGGTGGCTGATATGATCAAGGAAAAGAGTGATGAGAGAAGTAGACTGATAACCTTAATTAGGACTGCTCAAATTTAAGAGGTGAGTGAAAGAGAAGGCAGCAAAAACAAACAAAATACACCTGAAAATGAATAGTCAAATGAGTGAAGCCTCATGGAAGTCGAGATGAATTTATAAGCTTCCTAAAGACACACAAAATGCAGACATTAAAATAATTTATGAAGATCAGATACTACTGGGAAATGCTAATGTTATATTTAGAGAACATAAAAGGCATATATCATATGATCCATTTTTTTAATGCATATAAAAAGACTGAAGGAAGTATGTCAAAGTGTTGACAAAGACTGCCACCAGGGAGTAAATATATATATTATTTATATATAGAGAGAGAGAGCGAGAGATTTTCTACCATAAATATGTACTGCTTTTGTAAAGAAAAACATATTCCTAAGTCTTGGAAATCAGTGATATTCATAAAGGATATTTTTAAAGAATATGCAGTTCATCTACCTAGTTATTCTAGGTTTTTATCCTCAAATCAAGTTGATCATCTAAAAAACAATGTACTCGAATCACAAAATGTTGACTTGAAGAAAATGACATCATAGTTTCATTCAGCAATATGTTCTTGGTAAGGAAACTCGGACAAAGAGCCTTATGCAGGCTATTACTACATTGACTGTACCACAGTGTTAAGCAATTACCCACGACATCACTCGATAACTTTGATATAGAGCTCCACCTAAGAAATTTCTTTAGAGGTATTCAGAAAACCTTTGTTTCCCCAGAATATTTAGCATGTTTTCTTCTCTTTGAGATCTATCTACCTTTCTATTTAAAAGATACAAAGATATGTCTCCCTTTTCCCTTTGGCTTCCAAGAAGCTTAAGGCTAAAATCCCAGCTCAACTAGGTAGGCTCCTATGGCCTGCATAGTTGTATCCTATCCCCCGCTACACATACATACACACACTCCACACCTCCTCAAGACCTCCACTCTTATTGCTATTTTCCCGGGTTTGCAATTTGAATATCTTATTTATATTCTTGCCATTTTGTTAGTACATGTTTTTGTTGTAAGCTGACAAATAGTATTTGTGGAATAAGTGGGATAAAAATATCATTTGTATCCACATTAACTTTAAGCATCACAAGAAATGATGCATACCAATATATGGTCCAAATTTTTGGTTAAAGAAAAAAAAAGAAGACTTGAAGCTAGAATCGTGCTTTTCTTTTCAAATGTTCTTTTTTTAAGAGCAGGCAGTGGTATGCCAGAGGCTTCAAGAACCACAGGAGAGACATGATGCATGCATTTTACTACACAGTAATTTAAAAATACTGTTTTGTTTTTAAATATACACTAATTAAAAAGTCAAAAAGTGCTTGGGAATTTTTTAAGATAATTAGACTTGCAAGAAATTTCATTCTTGCCTGGAGCTTCTTCAGGATATACTCTCTGATTTACCAGCTCTCTCTTCCCAGCCCAACCACACTCCCACCTCCCCCATGATTTACTCTGCTCTTAAGTTAGAAGTATTTTTGGTAGAAGACTTTGAAATGTAGGAATCTAGATACTACTATACAGAAACAGAATTACATTTAATATTGTTAGCAATAATTACCAACAGGATTATCAATAAACAATAAAATAGAAAATCTGGAGTCCTGCCAGGCCAGAAGCCTGGCTACCTAGACCAGAGGAACTTGCTATTAGAGGGCTGTGAAAGTTCTAAGAGGCCACAGAGATTGATTTTTGTTTTGTATATATTTTTTTAGTGTTTGAGTTTCTTGTACATCACTGGTATTAACAGCAAATATATAGTATTAAAATTCCTCTAGAATTCTTAGGGTAATAAAAATTGTGTAAAAGCAGCCAAGTATTTGGAATATGTATATTTTTTCTGAATTCCTAATGTGATCATAAAATACCAAGTTACCTTTTTTTTTGCTAAAATCTTTATCTGTAATGCTATCTGTACTTTTTACTCACATAAACCATTCCCAATCTCTACACATATATATGTGCCAAACTTTTAGTGATTTTACCTCTTTATGGATATTATCACTTTATCACTAAGGAGAAATACTTTTTATATTACCATCCCTGTGCATTATCATTACAGGGGACCTGTTTCTTTTAAATTGGAAATTGTGAAGACAAACACACCCCTAATCTCCTAAAACTAGGAAAGGTAAATCTGCTAGTAAAATTTAAAAGTATACATGTGGAGATAAGTAACAACTGACAATAAAAGTGTCAAAATGACTGTTTTTAAATGTCACCATTAAACAAATTTATTTAATTCTATGCAAACCATCTGCCCTAAAGTCACTGAGTCATTAGTTCAACATATACTTAGGTCCCTCCTATGTGCCAAGCACCCTGTTAAGGCACTGAAGATTTCAGTGTGATTAAGCACACACAGGACTACTCCAAGCCACAGTTTACAATCCAGTGGGGATACACATCCTCAGCACTTTATCAATTTAGTTTCATTCAAAAACAAAAAAAAAATCTGCTCTCTAGTAACTCATAATGCACACACATTTCTTTTAAAAAACGTACTTTCCTAAGGAGGGCAATAAAGACAGAAAACAGCCTTTAGATCAGGACAAATAATTGAACTTATTCTGTGAATATAAATCAGTTGTACCATTTGGTCCTGACATGTCAACAGTACCAACTAAAACTGGTTGTAAGTGTGTTACTTTAAGAAATTATGAAATGTGAAAGATTTCTTTGCTGTAGATTGCAACTCATCAGCAGTTACTTTAAGCATTTTAGGCCAGGGAGAAATAATTCCTGTCCAGCACAATAATATCATAGATCTAGCAGCTGGCAAATATATTGAGCAAGGATTAATAACAACACTATTCCCTAGAGGGTAATTTCTTCCAATAACAGAAATAAGTAAACAAATGCCTCTTAGGAACCTTGTTTTTTAAAAGAAAACAGATGAATCAAGGCTGTTTGTGGATATCTGTAATTTTATCAAGTTTTCGTTAATAATGAAAACAAAGTCTGAAAACAAAGGCACACAGATTTGCCTATGGCTAAACATGCTCTGTGTACCAAAGGAAGTTACACAGCACTAACACCCTATATAAAGCCTAACTACAAAATGCAGTGCATGACAGTTTACCTCCAAAGCCACTTCAAAAACTTGTTATTAAACACTAAGTTCCAGTTTCCCTATAAGAAAGACTATAAATGAATTAGCTAAATTCTTCTACATATTCTGTATATAGGAACTTTGCCACATCCTTACTCTCATGTTTTAGCTTCTTTGCCAAATAACTACAAGGAGTTTCAAAAATATGTTTATACAGAGCTTTAACACACATACACCAACGAACAGTGTATATTAAAACACCAGCTTACTGTTTTTAGGCTTCTCTAGTTAACCAACTATCCTGAACAGGCTGCTTTTAAAGAGGGCCCCTGCCCATTAAATCAACAGTAAATAGACTGCAGAAAATGCACTGAACCTGACAGGGAAGAAAAATAATCTGCCAGTGAAACTTGTAAGTGACCACCTAGTGACAAGCAACAACCAACAACATCAAAATGGCAATTTTTAAGTGTTGCCCTTAAATGAAACATTAAGGAGAATTACAGTAAGCTATCAAACCAGATAACCAGTACACCAGTTATCTTCACTAAATTATACCTCATTAGTTCAACAGATATTTGTGTCCCTACTATAAGTCAGACACTGGGTTAGGCACTGAGGTTTCAGCCTGAACAAGCAGGTAAAGGCCCTACTCTGAAGGTGTTTGTATAAAATCCAGTGAGATATCTTCAGGAAGTAGCAAAACAGGAAATACTCAGTGACTGAAACAAAGCAAGGTAAAAATTTTCCTAGACTTAAAAAAATCACATACACAAGAACCACTTAAACTTTTCTAACGATGTTCTCTACATTTTTACTGAACTTAGTTTCTGGTACATCTGTTCTAACACAGACTAAAGAGATGAAAGGGAGAAAAAAATAAAAACAGGATGCATATAGGTTTATTAAAGGTTACTTCTTTTTTTAAAAAAGCAGGCATGAAAACATACACGCACACATATACCTGTTGACGTAAAATCCATATTCCTGGGGAGCCCTTTAGAGCACCCACACAGTGCAAGTTTTAAAGGTTAAACGATAGCATGTAGCAAATAATAACAGATAGTAAATAAAGTACTTTTCATTTGGAAGTAGCACAAGTCTTATAATAATAAGAAGGGCATAATAAATAAGAACTCTCCTTTTTCTCTAGGTGTTTCTAAACCTTTCCCGGGCCCCTCTTCTCCCCCCACCGATCGCTTTAGGCACTAGCAAGTCTTTTTTTTTTTTTTCTTTCTTTAGCAGAGGGAGTGACGTGGCAGGAGAGGCAGAAAATGACCCTGGAGCAGCCGTGGCTAGGGCTGAGCTAGCACCTCCTCCCTCCGCTCCACGTTGTACACCCAGCACACCCCGATTCCCACAGGGTTCCAGAATTTCTGTGTCTTCTTACATAGAAGAGGCGATCTGTTTTTAGGAGAGGGGATCTGATTGGCAGTGGGAGCTTGGGAGCAGTCTTGAAGCTACGTGTGCATAGCAGGCACGGTTTTTATTGAGACTCGAGAGGCAGTGATGGCACTGATGGGTGCTCCAGCGGTCCCCACTCACCCCCTGGCGCCGCCAGCGCCTCGCTCCATTCCCACTTTCAGCTTTAGGTTAGCCGTGAGGGGAGAGCTTTCCTACCTGGGAAGAGCACTGGGAATGTCCACTGGGGACCAAGGCTTGTGTGCCTGAACCCAAGAGAGCGGTTTGTCAACAGGCTGGAGTTAGTGGGGCGAAGAAGCCCAGCACAGAGCCCCTGTGCCGCATCCCCCTCCTCTCCCAGGCTCCTGACGCCCTCCCACCCCCATCCCCCAGCCTGACACCCAAGGAGCTCCGAAGTCAGGCGGAGGCTTCCAAGGGGAGTCCCCAGTCTTAAACCGCGGCGGGGAAGACAGGGACACGTAAAGAGGAGTAACCCCGCTAGCGAAGCTCCATCCGCCCCCAACAGCGTCCCACCCCTCCCCCTTTCCCGTTCAGTCCCCCACAAAAAGCCCCGCTCGGGGCCGCCAGGCCCGGGGACGGAGGCGATAAGGTGCAGGAGAGCTAACGGAAGAAGGCGGCTGAGAGGAGGGCAGGAAGCTGGGACGGCGCCCCCCACCCTCCCAGGTCGACTCACTCACTGCCGGGGTCGGGGGCCGGCGCCTGAGGCCCGGGCCAGGGCCTGGCGGAGGGAGCGGGCAGCACGGAGGCGGACCGAGGCGGCCTACGCAGCTGGCACAGACCCGGACGGTTGCGGGCCCCGCAGGCGCCTCCTCAAGCTGCGGAGCCAGAAGACTCGGTTGGCGGCGGCCTCTGGCTGCGGACGTGGCGCCCGACGCGACCCGCCCCCTCCGCCGCCTCCTCAGCTCCCGCCTCCTCCCGCGGCTCGGACTCAGAAGCGCACGCGCACCCGGGCCCCTCCCGCGCCCACCGGGCACACGCCCACCCGTTTCTCGAACTGCCCAGCGCTCCCAGCAGCCCCCTGCCTGCCGCCTCCCGACGTGCGCACGCGCGACGATCCCCTACCCCGGACCGAGGCTTGCTCCCGCCCCTTCGTCCCCTGAGCGCCTCCGCGGGAACCCCTGGCCGGCTGCGCGCGCGCCTCCTCCCGGGGTCTCCCCGCCCCCTTTTCTCCGCCGTCCAATCAGATCGGGCGAGGGGCTCGGGGAACGCGTCGGGGGTGGCGTCTAGTGCCGCCGCAGAAAGCCTGGCAGGCGTCCGAAGCCTTCGTTCCGCCGCGAGTAACGGTCCATGGGAATTCAGAACCTTCGCCCTAGGGAAGCTGGGGCGCTCGCGGATTTCTGCGGCTCTTTCTTCGCCCGGGGGCCCCAGCCTTTTTCCCTTATCTGCTTCCCGTCAAGGGAGTGACGTGCTGGGCCTTCTCTCAGCACTTCACTTTGGTGCTCCAGGTGACGGGGCTAACGAGAGAGACATTGCTCACTTATTGTTGTTGTTATTTTAAATCTCCCCTGCCCTGGAACCGAGCTTCTGGAGAGTGAGAACCCCTCTGGGTCGTCGTCGTCCCCCACCGCGTCCAGCAGTGCCGAGGGCTCGCCACGCGCTCGAAATTTCCAGGAGAGAGTGGGTGTCAGTAGCGAGGAGAAGCGGATCGGGAAGGAGAAACCCGGCTTTGCGCCCCGCCCTCGCCCCCTGCCTCGGGCTCGGCGCCTGTCCACGTCTGCCCGCCTGTCTGGAAGGTGCGGAGGAGAGGGCAGCGGTGAGAGGAGACCGCCTGGACCCCAGCTCCGGCTGATGTGAGGCATCTCGGCGCTTCCCAGGAGGAGTCGTCCTTGCCACCTCGCAGCTGGCTGTGAGGACTAAACGACGCAAGTTGCGCAAAGGCTGCTGAACCAGCTAAATGGCATCTATTAGCTCGTCTCTGCCTCTCTTTCCACACCTGTGAAACGAAGATGACTAAGTCCGTCGTAGGTTCTTTGAGAGAATCAAAAAAGATGGCGAGTGTGAAAGGACTTTGTGACCTGTGAATTCTTACACAAGTGTGAGATTTTCCTTCAAGATATAGTTAGCAAGACAGAACAGACACGCGAAGCAACCAGTAAATAACGTCACAAAATGTTTTTTCGAAAGCGAAGTGAGCAGGGTGATACTGAATAATAGCTGTTGACAAGGCTCGGAAAGGACACACTAACCAAGGAAAGCATCCTGGAAGAAGCTCACTTGGACTGAGGTCTTATGGCGTGGACTAAATATAGTTGACGGTTTCAGCCTAATCATTGATTCATCAAAGCAGCGAGTCAGATCCACTTAGGCCATTGTGCTGAGGCTATCAAGATATTTTAGTTTTCCAGAACTTAAAGGGAAAATTAAGTAATTTTGTCGCTTGAAAATATGATTTGGATGATTAGCAGGATCTATGAATTGTTATGTTTACCCAGCATGTGAAGAGGTGGATACCTACTC